TCATGAGAAACGTAAATTTAGAATATTAGAAGAGTGTAAAACTAAGATCTAGAGTTATATAATATAATCAAGATACCTAGGGTTCATGACAAACGTAAATTTAGAATATTAGAAGAGTGTAAAACTAAGATCTAGAGTTATATAATATAATCAAGATACCCAGGGTCCATGACAAACGTAAATTTAGAATATTAGAAGAGTGTAAAACTAAGATCTAGTGTTATACAATATAATCAAGATACCCAGGGTTCATGAGAAACGTAAATTTAGAATATTAGAAGAGTGTAAAACTAAGATCTAGAGTTATATAATATAATCAAGATACCTAGGGTCCATGACAAACGTAAATTTAGAATATTAGAAGAGTGTAAAACTAAGATCTAGTGTTATATAATATAATCAAGATACCTAGGGTCCATGACAAACGTAAATTTAGAATATTAGAAGAGTGTAAAACTAAGATCTAGTGTTATACAATATAATCAAGATACCCAGGGTCCATGACAAACGTAAATTTAGAATATTAGAAGAGTGTAAAACTAAGATCTAGTGTTATATAATATAATCAAGATACCTAGGGTCCATGACAAACGTAAATTTAGAATATTAGAAGAGTGTAAAACTAAGATCTAGTGTTATACAATATAATCAAGATACCTAGGGTCCATGACAAACGTAAATTTAGAATATTAGAAGAGTGTAAAACTAAGATCTAGTGTTATATAATATAATCAAGATACCCAGGGTTCATGACAAACGTAAATTTAGAATATTAGAAGAGTGTAAAACTAAGATCTAGTGTTATATAATATAATCAAGATACCTAGGGTCCATGAGAAACGTAAATTTAGAATATTAGAAGAGTGTAAAACTAAGATCTAGTGTTATATAATATAATCAAGATACCTAGGGTCCATGAGAAACGTAAATTTAGAATATTAGAAGAGTGTAAAACTAAGATCTAGTGTTATACAATATAATCAAGATACCCAGGGTCCATGAGAAACGTAAATTTAGAATATTAGAAGAGTGTAAAACTAAGATCTAGTGTTATACAATATAATCAATATACCCAGGGTTCATGACAAACGTAAATTTAGAATATTAGAAGAGTGTAAAACTAAGATCTAGTGTTATATAATATAATCAAGATACCTAGGGTCCATGAGAAACGTAAATTTAGAATATTAGAAGAGTGTAAAACTAAGATCTAGTGTTATACAATATAATCAAGATACCCAGGGTCCATGAGAAACGTAAATTTAGAATATTAGAAGAGTGTAAAACTAAGATCTAGTGTTATACAATATAATCAATATACCCAGGGTTCATGACAAACGTAAATTTAGAATATTAGAAGAGTGTAAAACTAAGATCTAGAGTTATATAATATAATCAAGATACCCAGGGTCCATGACAAACGTAAATTTAGAATATTAGAAGAGTGTAAAACTAAGATCTAGTGTTATACAATATAATCAAGATACCCAGGGTTCATGAGAAACGTAAATTTAGAATATTAGAAGAGTGTAAAACTAAGATCTAGAGTTATATAATATAATCAAGATACCTAGGGTCCATGACAAACGTAAATTTAGAATATTAGAAGAGTGTAAAACTAAGATCTAGTGTTATATAATATAATCAAGATACCTAGGGTCCATGACAAACGTAAATTTAGAATATTAGAAGAGTGTAAAACTAAGATCTAGTGTTATACAATATAATCAAGATACCCAGGGTCCATGACAAACGTAAATTTAGAATATTAGAAGAGTGTAAAACTAAGATCTAGTGTTATATAATATAATCAAGATACCTAGGGTCCATGACAAACGTAAATTTAGAATATTAGAAGAGTGTAAAACTAAGATCTAGTGTTATACAATATAATCAAGATACCTAGGGTCCATGACAAACGTAAATTTAGAATATTAGAAGAGTGTAAAACTAAGATCTAGAGTTATATAATATAATCAAGATACCCAGGGTCCATGAGAAACGTAAATTTAGAATATTAGAAGAGTGTAAAACTAAGATCTAGTGTTATACAATATAATCAAGATACCTAGGGTCCATGAGAAACGTAAATTTAGAATATTAGAAGAGTGTAAAACTAAGATCTAGTGTTATACAATATAATCAAGATACCTAGGGTCCATGAGAAACGTAAATTTAGAATATAGAAGA